GTGGCACCCAGAAGCTTGGAGACACCAGGAACTACAGAGCCCCAAAGAGGCTGTCACAGCCTTGACTGGGGAGCTCCTAGGTCTGGGATCCCCAAAGGGCCACAGTTCTTCTCTCCTTCTTGTCACCCGCAACATGGCAAGCAAGGGGCATGTTTCAGCCTTGTTTGTTACAACTCTTTTAGCCCTGCCATTTGGTGGTTCCTGAGTTCTTGTCCTATGTCCAGGAAGAATGAGGTATGCGGACAAGTGGAGGGTGAGCAAGGTGAAGAGGAGCTTTATTGAGCTACAGAACAGCTCAGAGGAGACCCACAGTGACTAGCTCCTCTTCGCAAGCAGGGTGTCTCAGCTACTGTTCACCTCTCAGCAGAGAGGAGACCCTGGAGTGGCTCTGCAGCTGGACATTCCCCATCTGTTAGAGTCTGCTGAGTCCAGTGCTTTTATGGGCCTGGGACTCAGCCAGCCAGAGGGAGGAAGTATGTGCTGATTGGTCAATAGGAGGCCATGGGCAGTCCCGGAAAAAGCACCACAAGTTCCCACTCTGGCCCACTGACTGGCAGCCCAGCCCCCAGGCTTCAGAGCCTCCCTGGCTTGAAGGTGGGGCTTTGTGGGACCCATCCCCTTCTGTCCAGGAGCCTCTCTGCCTCCTGCCACTGTTCTGGGCACCCAGGCTGTTTGGTCAAGGAGTGCCTGCAGGCCAGTGCCGAGCTGCCTTCAGCCCATGCCTCAGTCTTTCTCCTGTGCTTGTTGGTGGCCAAAGTCTGGAGGAGGCTGAGGTGTTAGGAGGCTGATGTGTCAGCACAGTGCCTGGGCTTAGCCCCTACCTTGCTCTGAGATCAGAAGGGGTACCAGGAGCGGGGAGAGGCCAGGGGCAGGGGGAGCAGACATCTCCACACCTGTAGGGGAAGGGGTTTCTCCTGAGCCCCTGAGTGTGCCAAGACGCCCTGGTCCACAGCCATGGCTTGGGCAGCTGCAGGTGTGCTCAGGATGGTGGAGCTCCTGCCTACTCTGGCCCCCAAGAGCACAGGGAGACTTGGGTCTGCCTGGGAGGGCAGGGCTGCTGCCTCCTCCTGCCCCAGTGACTCCATAGAATGCACAGCCTGTTCCGCACTTCCCCCACAGTAGCCGGCTTCATGGCAGTGGTCACTCCAGGGGGGCTGCCGCTGCCATCAGTATAGCCCTTAAAGGTACCTATTGTGATTGTTATCTCATTTTTTTAGAGACAGAAACTAAGGCCTAGAGAGGTGAAATAACTCACTCAGTGTCATAGAATTAGGAAGTGGTACAGCCTCGTCCTAGGACAGTTTTGACTGTGTAGCCAGAATGCCACATTCTTTGCATAATCTTTTTTTATTTTCTCATGTTTTACTGATTTGGGGTTGTTGATTTGAATGTTAGAAGTTCATTGTACGGCATCTTTAAGGTTTTCTCAAGAAAAGCATTATATTAATTCAGTAAATAAGTAGATGTGTGTGGATTTTAGCTCTAATTCTTTAATTAGTTTTCAAAAATTAGCTTATTTTTATTTCTGGCTAAGTTTTCTAATGTATTTTAAAAGAGAAGAGTCTACCTAAATGTGGGGCTTTGCTGCTTTACATTCTGCTGGGAGATTTGATTTTCTTCATTGGGTAATTTGGATGTCTCATTTTGTCCTTGTTTCTTTACTATCCTGATTAAAGGATTAGAAAGCCCTTTTCCAGGTTGGAGTCACTAATACTATCTTGCACAGAGCCATGTACTGGGTTTCAATAAAACTTTATTTACAAAAGTAGGCGGTGAGCTGGATTTTCCCTGCAGGTTGTAGTTTGCTGGCCCCTGATTTAATGTACTGTAGGGTCTTGGTTTACAATATTATTATTTATCATATTAGGCCAATGTCTGATTCTGAGTATGCTAGATGATCCATAGACCATTGAAAATAAACAGTTTTCCATAACTGTGTTTTTCTGTTGGTTGTGCTGATAGTGATAATAGCTTTAATGAGCATTTGTTACATGCCAGGCACTGTGCTAACCACCTTATACTATATTTTCTCAGTATTGCCACAGGATTCTTGGGGTGTCACTTCACCAGCTGGAAACCCCTGTGGCCAGTGGTGCCTTTTGGCCTGAGTTTTGCTCAGGCCCACCAGGCTTGTTCTGCCTACTCGGCCTGGCAGGCTGCGTTTGGCTCACTCTACTGGCCTGGGTCCCGTGCTGGCCAAGGGCTAGCCAGGTGCAGAGCAGCAAGGGGTGTGTGAGTGAGCATGGGTTTGGGCTACCATGCACAGCCAGGCATGACAGCTGCGGTGGGGTGGGCAACTCCAGGTGACAGCATGGGCACTGGTTCCCTGTGAGGCTGCAGCTGAACCAGGCATGCCACAAGCAGCTTCTGCACTGGCACCAGGGAATAAAGTGGCACCCAGAAGCTTGGAGACACCAGGAACTACAGAGCCCCAAAGAGGCTGTCACAGCCTTGACTGGGGAGCTCCTAGGTCTGGGATCCCCAAAGGGCCACAGTTCTTCTCTCCTTCTTGTCACCCGCAACATGGCAAGCAAGGGGCATGTTTCAGCCTTGTTTGTTACAACTCTTTTAGCCCTGCCATTTGGTGGTTCCTGAGTTCTTGTCCTATGTCCAGGAAGAATGAGGTATGCGGACAAGTGGAGGGTGAGCAAGGTGAAGAGGAGCTTTATTGAGCTACAGAACAGCTCAGAGGAGACCCACAGTGACTAGCTCCTCTTCGCAAGCAGGGTGTCTCAGCTACTGTTCACCTCTCAGCAGAGAGGAGACCCTGGAGTGGCTCTGCAGCTGGACATTCCCCATCTGTTAGAGTCTGCTGAGTCCAGTGCTTTTATGGGCCTGGGACTCAGCCAGCCAGAGGGAGGAAGTATGTGCTGATTGGTCAATAGGAGGCCATGGGCAGTCCCGGAAAAAGCACCACAAGTTCCCACTCTGGCCCACTGACTGGCAGCCCAGCCCCCAGGCTTCAGAGCCTCCCTGGCTTGAAGGTGGGGCTTTGTGGGACCCATCCCCTTCTGTCCAGGAGCCTCTCTGCCTCCTGCCACTGTTCTGGGCACCCAGGCTGTTTGGTCAAGGAGTGCCTGCAGGCCAGTGCCGAGCTGCCTTCAGCCCATGCCTCAGTCTTTCTCCTGTGCTTGTTGGTGGCCAAAGTCTGGAGGAGGCTGAGGTGTTAGGAGGCTGATGTGTCAGCACAGTGCCTGGGCTTAGCCCCTACCTTGCTCTGAGATCAGAAGGGGTACCAGGAGCGGGGAGAGGCCAGGGGCAGGGGGAGCAGACATCTCCACACCTGTAGGGGAAGGGGTTTCTCCTGAGCCCCTGAGTGTGCCAAGACGCCCTGGTCCACAGCCATGGCTTGGGCAGCTGCAGGTGTGCTCAGGATGGTGGAGCTCCTGCCTACTCTGGCCCCCAAGAGCACAGGGAGACTTGGGTCTGCCTGGGAGGGCAGGGCTGCTGCCTCCTCCTGCCCCAGTGACTCCATAGAATGCACAGCCTGTTCCGCACTTCCCCCACAGTAGCCGGCTTCATGGCAGTGGTCACTCCAGGGGGGCTGCCGCTGCCATCAGTATAGCCCTTAAAGGTACCTATTGTGATTGTTATCTCATTTTTTTAGAGACAGAAACTAAGGCCTAGAGAGGTGAAATAACTCACTCAGTGTCATAGAATTAGGAAGTGGTACAGCCTCGTCCTAGGACAGTTTTGACTATGTAGCCAGAATGCCACATTCTTTGCATAATCTTTTTTTATTTTCTCATGTTTTACTGATTTGGGGTTGTTGATTTGAATGTTAGAAGTTCATTGTACGGCATCTTTAAGGTTTTCTCAAGAAAAGCATTATATTAATTCAGTAAATAAGTAGATGTGTGTGGATTTTAGCTCTAATTCTTTAATTAGTTTTCAAAAATTAGCTTATTTTTATTTCTGGCTAAGTTTTCTAATGTATTTTAAAAGAGAAGAGTCTACCTAAATGTGGGGCTTTGCTGCTTTACATTCTGCTGGGAGATTTGATTTTCTTCATTGGGTAATTTGGATGTCTCATTTTGTCCTTGTTTCTTTACTATCCTGATTAAAGGATTAGAAAGCCCTTTTCCAGGTTGGAGTCACTAATACTATCTTGCACAGAGCCATGTACTTGGAGGATGTTGATTTCCATTTGTTGAATGAATACTAACTTAGCTTTCTTTTTGGTAATGTGTCAACTATTCTTCACATTGCTGTATCTAATATCTCTGAGTACAGTTCTCAGAGTTTGCAGAAAGCTTGACATCAGAAATAAGATGGTGGTGGAAATGACTAGGTTGGTGTGAATATTGAAAAAGTGGGCTCATGCTTTCAGAGTGGAGATAACTTGTTCAGCTATTGCACTGCTTTCCTGTTTCCCTTTTTATATTTAGTTGTCACTCTAAACAACTAATCAGCTTTGCATCAGCATTTTATTTGGACTTAGTCTGTGCCCGATACAATTAGGAATCCAAAAATAATGATCCTTGTTTTCTTAACACTCAAAGTCTCACATCAACTTATAAATTGTCTTAATATGTGCTTATCTACTGATTAGCATAAATTAAGTGCTTTAATGGAGGTATTATAACAAGTGCACTGTAGGAGCATGAAGGGAGGTGCAGCTGACTTCCCATTGGGCCAGAGGAGGGGATCTGTTATGAAGTGAGTGGTTTTTGAGTTGAGAACAGGAGTGTTCTATGTAGAGAAGGCAGGATTGGCCAACATCTCTGGGAAAGAAGACCACAACAGCAGGAGAGAAGATGAAATATTATGGGAATGATATGAATTCTGTTTTGGCAGGAAGAAGGTGGGGCAAGGGGTCAGCTTGGAAAAATAGGTTGGAACCAGATTTTGAAATGCATGTGGTGATAAGGGGGACTTGAAATGCTTTCATTAGGGTGTGACACAATCAGAGTTTTATGAAAATAATTCTGGTGACGGCATGAAGGGGAGGAAATTGATGGGAGAGTAAGTAATGGGTTGTCCATTCTTCTGCCTTCCAGCTTTCTCCTGTGCTTCTGGAGAGTATCTAGAAATGAAGAACCAGGTATGCAGTAAGTGTGGTGAAGGCACCTATTCCTTGGGCAGTGGCATCAAATTTGATGAATGGGATGAATTGCCGGCAGGATTTTCTAACATCGCAACATTCATGGACACTGTGGTGGGCCCTTCTGACAGCAGGCCAGACGGCTGTAACAAGTAAGAATCCAAAGCAGCCTTTGGCTCTTAACTGAATATTTGAGAAGAAAGTAGTTGCTCTTTTCCAGAAAGAAGATGAGGATAATCTTGGTACTGTTTGTGGTGATAGATAAGCTAATTGCAAAGAATCATGTTTTTTGGACAGTCATTGCAATGAGTTTTCATGAGGTTAAAATCATTGCCCTCAGGTTATAATAGACACTGTATGCAAAAATGCAATAAAGCTGTTAGAGAAGCAGATTAATTTTTCTCATATTTATGGCTCATATTATGGCTACAGTTAAGCCGCTGGTGTTTGTACTAACCTTTTTCTGATTTTTAACAGATACTTTCAGGTTTTTTTCTTTTCCTCTGACAGGAAGAATTAATAACCTTCATTTAGACACTTGATTATCTCCTATATAAAAGAGAGTGGGTTAAGTACCTAAGGTGGAAAGCACCTTTGCTTAATTCCTACCTCTTTTATAGGGGATTATTAACTTTGCATATCACAAAGCTGGCGAAATGTTAAACTGTTTTGAAAAAAACAAAACAAAATGTTTGTCTTTGAGCTATATCCCTTCCTGTTATCTTGTATTAACTATGTAACATTTTCTTTCATATGGATTTGCTTAGGAGAATTCAACTTTAGGGCTCTGGCTACCCCCTGACAAGAGTAGCCACTCAGGAACCCTACATTTTTACCGTAAGCTAAGGATGCTGGGGAATTATTTAGCTGTGTTGAAAGGCATATTCATTCCCTCCCTCCCTTCCTTTCTTCCTTCCTTTCACTCTACCTTTTTGCCAAATGACACCAATTTCTTTATTTTAATCTCTCGATAATAGGATTATTTCCTTGAGAGAGTGTGTGTTTTCAGTAAAAGAGTTCCTTAGATGATGGTACTAGTAGGATGTTGTGGGACCTCAGATCTTTGTTTTGGTGGCCAGGAGATATTGACAAGACTTCTTTTTCTGCCTGGAATAGTTTATGTATAAAAGAAATTGAATAAGCAGAAGTTTTTCAAGGTAATGTCTTCTAGTGTGATTTTCTCGGTGTAAATTTCAGTCTGGGCTGGCTTGGTGGCTCATTCCTGTAATCCCAGTACTTTGGGAGGTCGAGGCAGGCAGATCACCTGAGGTTGGGAGTTCAAGACCTGCCTGACCAACATGGAGAAACCCCATCTCTACTAAAAATACAAAAATTAGCCTGGCATGGTGGCAGGTGCCCATAATCCCAGGTACACAGGAGGCTGAGGCAGGAGAATCACTTGAATCCTGGAGGCAGAGGTTGCAATGAGCTGAGATTGTGCCATTGCACTCCAGCCTGGGCAATAAGAGTGAAACTCCGTCCACGCTTGCATACTCTTTATTTCTTTTTAATTGGTTGGGTCATATAGGAGATGTATGTTGAACTTTCTAAAAAGTCCGAGCTTTTCAAAATGGTTATATCATCGTAGACTCCCACCAGTAGTATATTTGAGTTCTAGTTATTCTACATATTTACCAACATTTGTATTGTTAAGTCTTGTTTTGTTCTAGCCCTAGCCATTCCAGTGTATGCACACGTGTGTTTGTGTGAAATAATATCTCCTTGTTTTAATTTGCATTTCCCTGCTGGATGATAATGTCAAACATGTTTCATGTGTTTATTGTTCATGTGTTTATTCACTTTTGTGAAGTCAAATTGTTTTATCCATTTTCTACTTTTTTTTTGGTCATTTGATTATTAAGCTAAAGGAGTTCCTTGTACTTTCTGAGCATGGGTTCTTATGTGTATATATTTTTATAATAAATATATAGTATATGCACACACACACACACACACACACACGTCTCCATGTGTGTAACACTTCTTCCCAGTTTGTGGCTTTTGCCTTTTTTGTTTTCTAAATAGTGTCCTTTGAAAAGCAGAAGTTTAAAATTTGAAAGAATACAATTTATCCTTTTTTTCTGCTGTGGTTATATGTTAGGATATCTTTGCTAACCCCAGGTTGCAAAGGCCAGAAATTACTGTATGCATCCTTATGGTAACATAGAGTTATTATTGTACCTTTATATAATGTTAAATTTTACAACAGCATAGTTACATCTATACCCTTATCTTCACACTATTGCCATATATTTAGAAACATGTTATAAACTGTACAATACAATGGTATTATGTTTTAAATAATTAGTTGCTTTTAAAATAACCTTACAAAGATTTAGGGACTCAAAAGCCAAGTCCATCACTGATAAGTTCATTTCATATGACACACAACTTCCTAAAAAATTAAGGTGAAAAAATATAGCTTTATATGTTAATCTACATATTTATCATTAGTGGTGCTCTTTCTCACCTTCTATAGATTTGCCATGTGTATAGGTTTACAAATAAACTGCAGATGTCTGAAAGAATAATTCCATCTAAGGCTACTAAAGTTAGTTATCTATTTGGTAATCAAATTTTGGGTGAAAAATAACAGTTTCATAGCAGATTAATCATATAACCTTAAAAAGATTTAGGAAGTTATTTGCCATAAGAAATGAACCTCTTCTCAGTAATAAAGTTGGCCTTTGAGTTCTGGAAAAGCTTCTGGTGTTTTCTGCTGTGCTTTGCTGATGGAACTGCTTGTGAATCTGAGTTACGTAGCTTTGTGAACAGAAGAGGTTTCAGAACATTAATGTAAAGTGCCTCTTGGTTTTGTTTCCGCAGCTCTTCTTGGATCCCTCGTGGAAACTACATAGAATCTAATCGTGATGACTGCACGGTGTCTTTGATCTATGCTGTGCACCTTAAGAAGTCAGGTTATGTCTTCTTTGAGTACCAGTATGTCGACAACAACATCTTCTTTGAGTTCTTTGTAAGACCTTTTACATTCTGGAATTTACTATTTAAGGGACATTCATGTAAATTTCCCTTAGTCAGTTGTTGCCATTCTACTTTATTCTCCCTCAGTTTTGTGTGTGTGTGTGTGTGTGTGTGTGTGTGTGTTAATTGAACCTTTTGATGTTAAAAGAAAACTTAAATTTTTTTCTATAATATTTTGTTTCCTGGTTAATATTATTTCTTTACCTCCGAGATCTCACCTTGCAGCATGACACTGGGCTTATTTAACTTTTAGTTATGCTCATTATATAACCATTTGGTTTTGAGTTTTTGTGTGACAAATATTTCTTCCAAGATTCATGTTTACTTTACCTTTTTGTAGCTACAGATAGTATTCTGTCAAAACTGTGTTTTTTAAACCAATTTTAGTTTTCACTTAAAAGTTTTTTATCTTTGCAATTTCAAATATTGTTTGCTAACAAGAATTATTTAAGTGCATTTACAAGAAATTTTTTTTAAAAGTAGAAGTGGCTGCATGTTTCTGATTCTGTGAATTTTGTACAGTCTAAAAACGTCAATGAATGGGATATTGATGTCTTTGAAAAAAATTAAATAACATTACAGAAGATAAGATAATCACCTAACAAAATAAGCTGTTACCACTAAAGTTACTTAACTACTATTAATAAACAGTATCTAATCTAGCAAATATTTATCATGACACAAATGCTTGAGCAAATGTTCTCAGATTGACTTCTCACACCAAACCAAGTGTGTGTTGTGCTTATAAATGGGAGACTATCTTGAAAAATGTTTCTGCAGTCCAGATTTCAGAAACAAATGCACTGAACATTTTAAAACAAATTTGTGTTGTTGGAAATGGGAATTTCTAAATCAGAAGTTTGGTAGCAAGAGAGATTTTTCATGAAAATATGAGCTTTATATTTGAAGTCAAGAAATTCTGGCTGTAGTCCCAACTCTGCAATTGTTAACACTGTGTTATTGAGCAATTAAGTAAACCTTCCGGCACTTAGCATTCATTTCTATAAAGTAGATTATGTGACAATATCTTTCAAGGAGTCTCCTAGTACTAATATGTTTTGATGAGTTTAAGATGTTAAGCAACATTCAAACAGATTTATGTTTAAGCTGCATTTTGTTTGCAAAATCCTTCTGGAAGTGAACAATTCCGTTTCGTTGGACATTTTTGGCAACATTGCTAAAACTGAAATAAAGTTAAGAAGCAAAGCAGTTATCTATTTATTAGAATAAGTGTTTAGATTTGTTTTGCCCAATAAGTTCTTTGAGATATGTCAATAAAGTTTCATTACTTCCTTTCAGCGATGCCTTTGTTCTAGTTATAATCTGAAAAGGGATGGCAAAATCATGTTCCTTCCTCTATTGATGTTGCAGCTTTAGAGGTTGCAATTTACTGATTCAGAAGGTCAAAACTTCATGGTCATCATACTAATGGTTAATGGAAAGGAAGTGTTTGCAGATTGAAATATGCTGTTCTCTGAGAGTTGTACATATGGGCATTACATAATTAACAACAACAAAGTATTTAATTTTGGAACTATATGAAACTTTCATTCAGCCCTTCTGTTTTTGTTTTTGTTTTTTTTTTTAAATAATGATGAAACTGAAGCCTAGAGAGACTAAGTGATTAGACTTAGGTTTTACAGGTCTCCAGAATGCCAGTAGAATGTCAGGATAACATATGACATCTGCTTTCAGTGATTAAAAAAAAAGCTTTCAGCTTATCTACACATTGACCGTTAAAGGTATATTCAGGGTCCATATCTGCTTTTAATTAGGTTAACACTTGCATTAGAATGGTCATTATGCTTATAATATGAATATGACACTTAAATTCAATTAAAGTAAGTACTCTCAGTAGCTGATGTTCTCTGGCATTTGGATGGCAATAGGGTCTATTTTTTAGTTAGTAAGTCTTTAGGGAATAGCTCTTAAGGAGAGCATTTTAATGTTTGTAGATTGGTTGGGAAGATGAGTGAAGAAGCAAAATGATTTAGAGATGAAAGAGCGAGCCATTTCTTTTGGTGGGAATATAGGTGATGAGATCTTATTTTAACTCTAATCTGTTGCTGTTTTGCAATATTGGAAAGGTGGCCTAACTTTTTGATGTCTCTGTATTCATTGTAGACCTGGAAAAGTAGTGTCCCAACTCCTTGACATTTTGGAAGAATTGCCTGGAAAGCACAAGGTGTTTGGTGTTAAAGATATCTGTAGTCATTTGAATTGGCATGGCAAATGATTAACGTTTACCCCCAAATAAAAATTTGGAACTTTGACTTTGGTCATAGCCAAATTTTTATTTGGGGGTAAATGTTAATCATTTGCCATGCCAATTCAAATGTCTACAGATATCTTTAACGCCAAACACCTTATGCTTTTGCATTTGGATTAGGTCCTAGGGAATGGAAAACAAAGTATACTTTATTTATTTTTAATTTAAAATTTTACCGCTGCAAATATTATAAAGAACAGCTTTGTTGATTTTTATGCTATTGGGCCTACATGGTGAATGCAAGCTATGAAAAAGTTTGGGTAATTTGGGTAGTTGTTTTGTACTTTGTCTCCTTTCGGTGCGTTGTCAGTGTTAGTCACTGTGTTAGTGTGCATTGTGAATCTTCTCCCACATTTCTCTCTCTAATGCGCTAGGCTTTTTGTTACAATAATGAAGGTAGTTTACTTAGAACCACTCAGTCATATGCAGTTGTCACTTAGGCTCCAGAGGTCTTGGTATGTTTACTTACTGAGAATTACTCATGGCCATTGTTTAGAATGTATTGAACGAGGTTCTTGCAGTCTGTGCTGGGTACAAAATTTAATTAAAGCCATTATTCAAGACACTTTACTAGGGCCCTTGTGTTTAATCCACAGATTCAAAATGATCAGTGCCAGGAGATGGACACCACCACTGACAAGTGGGTAAAACTTACAGACAATGGAGAATGGGGTTCTCATTCTGTAAGTAGTCTCTTTGTATTTCCTTCTTCTTTCCCAACTTTTCCTTCTTCTTTTTTTTTTTTTCCAACCTTTTCTTCTTCTTTCCCAACTTCCCCTTCCTTTCATAACTTTAAAAAAAAGTGTATTTTAAGAAAAAAAATCAAAATTAACTATTAATTTAGGTGATTTCTGGTTAGGGAAAAAATTACCCCTAGTTTCATGGACTCAGCTTCCAATTTTCAGGGCCTTTTTCCTACCTTTTTCTTTCTTCTTAGTTTCCTTTTCCTTCCCCTTCCCATCATAGTCTAATTTTCCTCCCTTTCAAAGGGGCATCCATGAGAAAGAAGGCTGTTCAAAACTAATATACAAAACATTTGAGTTTCTAAGTTTGTAAATGTGCCTGTCATATGTGATCAAATTAGTGGCTCTTGTCATCGGAAGGATCTGTGAATTCCTTTTATATTTTGCTGCACTGTGCCCAACAAGTGATATTCAAGCTTGTTTTGTTGGGTACTATGCTGTCTCCATTTGTTGAACAGCTCTGTTTATCACAAAATTTATCTATGTTTGGAGCCTCAACCTGCCTCCTCCCTATTTGCCACACATTGGTTGAAATTCTACCTTCTCTAGTTACATGAAGTAAAGTAACTGCCTGCTTCCTTACAGGACAGCTCCTTAAATGCTTGAAGGCAATTATCAGGTAACGATTCAGTGAATCTGTTATTATTTGAGGCACTGTCTCTTTGGAGTGAGACATAGATTTAATATCTAACTCTGGTTTATAGTTGTGTTTCTTTAGGCAATTTGCTTAATCTCTTTGTGTCTGATGTTTTCATTTGCAAAATAGGAATAATCTTTGCATGATTAAATCAGAAGATATGTGGGAAGGGCCTAATATGGTGCCTACAATGTAGATCGAGCTCTATTTCAATAAGTGACCATTAATCCTTGTCTTTGTGGTTGTAGCAGGTACCTCATCCTTGGGTGATTAATATAATGTACCCTTTCAGAATATTTTAAAAAATCTGTATATCTGATAATAATATTAATAACATTTAAGATCCATATACCTTAACACCCAGTTAGCTGGGCTTTGAAGGTACAAGTAACCCTTAAAAACAAATATGCTTTCTTCACTTAAAAAGATTTAATACAAGGGAAAGTGCTTAATGCACTACTTTTACTTAATTTATTACTTCACTGAAATAGTTGGGTAGATTGTAATTTTATACAGCTTGAATTTGTCCAGCCAGAGACTGCATAGAAGAATTAGGGGGGTAAATAAGAAAGCAAGGAACTCTTAAAATTAGTTCACTTACCTGTATAAACATGAAATTTATAAGAAAATTAGTTTGATTTTACAATTAGCAAATATTCCAGTAGCAAAGGAAACCAATACTACATATAGTAGTATTAATGTTCTAGAGTAAGAGAGTTAAATCAGATTATCACATAAGTACAGTCCTATTTTTTCTTGTTATTGTTGCTGTATTTTTATTAAATATTTTTTTTAAAATAAACAACCTCATTCTGTTGCCTTTTGTTTTCAGAACTCAAAGATCTTATAAATAGTGGCAACCTGTAAATATACAAGTGGGCTGAGGGACTTTCACCCTCTAAAATGGATTCTTTTAAAATATAAACTAAGACTTCATGCAAATGGTTTGAGAATCATTTTATGTGTTTGTTTAGACTTGAAGATTTCTTCTTTTCTATTTAATATATTTTGTGGATTAGCAAACTCCATTCTTTTTTCTTTTAAGAAAGTGTAAACTTCAGCGGAGCTTAGGTCAGAATTAACAGTGGACTTAAATCTGTGGGTTTTAAATTAATGGCGTTTTATTGTATGGATTGAAAAAGTATGTCAGGTAGTAGCTTTTAGGTGTGGGAAATGGCATGGCTTATCTGACCTGAGTGCCTTTATGTTTCTCTTTATAGGTAATGCTGAAATCAGGTACAAACATACTCTACTGGAGAACTACAGGCATCCTTATGGGTTCTAAGGCGGTCAAGCCTGTGCTGGTAAAAAATATCACAATTGAAGGTATTTCATGGCAGTCTGGTTTAGTAGTCACTAGTGACTACTAAATATTAATGTTTTGGTTTGGCTGGTTCAAAGGTTTATAGAACAGAAATTAATATGTTAGGAAATCATATAGGTCTGGAGACCCTGGTTTTACTCCCAAGAAATCGGCAGTTGTTTTCTTTTTTTCTTGTACACTTGAACTAAATTATTTAATCATTGAAAAAAAGAGTAAACATGATGACAATTTTAGATGTCTGTAAACAAAAAACATGTCTCTGTGTTAATAAGACCCTATTATTCCTCTGAGAAATGTCTATTGTGCCAGACATTGGGCTTACTCAGGGAACTGATGACCTGGTCACTGCTATATCCATAAAAATAACAGTAAACATCTTGACCTGACTCTTCCCTAAACCTTTTGTGCTTGTCTGAATCAACTGGGCAATTTCTGGCCCAGGAGAGCAGCTGATGAACCCTGACATGGTTCATTCTCAATTAAGGGTATTTTTAATTAAAGCAGTGATTCTCCTTTATTAAACTTTGGCTTACATTTTAATATGTTCAATGTGGGCTTGTTCCTGTGAACAATGTGTTAACTCATTAGTCATAAGGACATCTGCTGGCAAAGGCTGGAATTACAAACCAGAGGAGAAGTCAAGCCATTCCTAGGTCTTACCTGTGACTTAATCAGCAGTGGGAAAAAAAAAGGGAATGGGTTATCATAAGGATCAGATAATTACAGGCCTATAGAATTAGAGGGAACCTTAGGGTTTATCTCATTTTTGAGTTAGTGGAGTTGTCTTTTGACAGCTCAGTTAATACAAGTACTATACCTCTATCAAAACTTATCACTTGTTTGCTGACTTGATTGTGCAGTTCCTTGTACACAGTAAATGCTTTCTTAGTGCTGGATGAATAAGATAAAAGATTTGGGCTGACCTTACTGTAAATATTTCTCCCTCACTTCTGGGTAGATGCAGAAGTAGGTGCTGATTTGCTTGTTGGTATTGGGTCCTCCTCCCATGCTCTGTTTTTCATTACCGCACAGGGGTGGCGTACACATCAGAATGTTTTCCTTGCAAGCCAGGCACATTCAGCAACAAACCAGGTTCGTTCAACTGCCAAGTGTGTCCCAGAAACACCTATTCTGAGAAAGGAGCCAAAGAATGTATAAGGTGTAAAGAGGACTCTCAATTTTCAGGTAGAACTAGTTTATACTCTGCTTTTTTCTTTCTAAATGTATGTTGGTCAAGTGTATATTTATAAGCCAGAAGTTACCCATAAAGTATGACAGCAGTGGTGGCTGAAACCGAAGTGCTGAAGTGAATTGATGTTGAATGGATAAAATATGACATCTTCTCCCTTTCTGCATGACTTTCCCCTATATAGGTCTATGATTTGTTTTTCTTTTCCACATCCCACAGGCAACTGCTATGGATATGTTTAGACTCATCTAAAAATGTTTATACTTTTACATGATTTGTTGGTGTAGAGACATACGTAGAAACTTTTGATTTGTTCCAAATTTCCAATGTACAGCGATGATGGAAGAAATCTAATATCTTCTGGGAAAAACTGTGATATACTACTCCGTGTGTATCATAGAAACACTTATTGCTCTAGGGAAAATAAAAATGTAGGCATTTATTTTCTTTACACCTAGGTAGTTCTACCTAAATTACCCTGGTAAGGTTATTTGTACTTTTTAGTTTGCTTTTTCTGTTTTGCTTTTTGCCTTTTCTTAGACGCAAAATAATTGACCCATTTCTGAAACGCTTTTTTTTATGTTGCAGAGGAAGGATCCAGTGAGTGTACAGAGCGCCCTCCCTGTACCACAAAAGACTATTTCCAGATCCATACTCCATGTGATGAAGAGGGAAAGGTACCAGCAGTGTTGCGTCAACTCCATCCCATATTTTTGCAACCTTCTTTCCAATTTGAGCAGACTCTAATTTGTTCATGAGAGAGATTTATGACACACGTATGTAAGTGTAAAGAAGAAATTTTAGAGTTTAGGGTTTGAAGTCTGCCTTCCTGGCTTTGAATTTCAAATATACAATTAAGTCCTGGGGGTAACTTATTTGATGTCTCTAGGTCTCAATTTTTTTATTTGTGTAATAGGGATGATATTGGCACCTACTTTATAAAGCTGCTGTAAGAACATTCAAGATATTTAATGTAAAGTTCCTAACCCAGTGCCTGGCGCATAGTGCTCAGTAAATGACTGCTACTGTTAACAGTTATATTTTTTCCAGAAGTAATAACATGAGAGAGCACAGCCTTAAAATGTGTAGTGTGACTCACAGGATGGAAAGTTCTTATAACTTCTCTTTAATTATTTGGTTACTCAGTAGGTTTTGTCAGTAAAAACCATGCAGCCATGGGCTATTCGGTTATGGCAGATTACTGTGTAATTGCAATGAGAAAATGCAAAGTAAGTACCATATAAACGGCACATAGCCAGAGGAAAAATGCACACATGAGCTCTGCAGTTGACCTGCTCTCCTCTTAATTAAAGAATTAGCCTACACCAGCCTGTGTCAGTGAGGGGACTCTGAGATCAAAGTGGCTGCTACGGATCGTTGCTTCTTTATGTTTGCATCTTTGAAATAATGACATTTATTTTCTTGACTTAGTTTGGAAAGCACATATAGATGTCAGGAAATTTATTACTTTCTTCTCTTATTTTTGCGTCCCTAGATTCTAATCTAGATTGTTATATTACTATTTATCTTACCTTAGGTCCTTAAGTTTTCTTTAAGGAATATTATTTGGAATGGTTAAGAGCAAGTACATTCTAGTTTAAATTAGTGGCAAATTGTAACGATAAGAAGTACAACTATTACTTTCAGTAAGAACAGTAACTCAAACTAACAGCTGTTAACTGACAAGGAGTTGTAAAGTAAGGTCCTGATAGTCCTATCATGATGCCAAGTAAGGGCTGTTTTTTAAGAAAATATATGCAGAGAGGTACCATTAAGGTGAATTGAAAAGTAATTTCCATTATGTTTGTTTAGGTAAACTTTTCTTAAACTTGCCTTATTAATAAGTAAGGCAAAAGTAAATTTAGTTTATTTTGTATAATAATCAGTTCAGTGTTACTGAGGCTTAAAGGAATGGGATCTAATGTATAATAGGATCTTGTCTAATCTACAATGAAAATATACAAAAGCTGTATATTTGGCCGGGCACGGTGGCTCAAGCCTGTAATCCCAGCACTTTGGGAGGCCGAGACGGGCGGATCACGAGGTCAGGAGATCGAGACCATCCTGGC